AAAACTTTTTTGGTCACTTTTGATTTTCAGTAGATGATAAAATACTTGTGCATATGTGGTATATTTCTTGATAACAGGTTTTTAAACCACTTAGAAAACATATCTCTTGTAAAGTAGGGTAGATTATATTATGTTTGCACAAAAAACATATATTTTCATTCCAAGTATAGTTCTCCTGACTTTTATCAAGGAAGGTTTATAGAGAAAATGAAATATTGTTAATATTAATTGCATATTTCAGAATTTTTAGAACGTAAATGCATATCTATAGAAAATCGCGAGAATAATTAGTCTATAATAATAGGTGTAATGTAGTTTAAAAAATGAAAAAACTAAAAAAACATGTGTGTTTCATTTGTACAAAGTACTGTGGGGAAGTTGATTTAAATACGGTGAAAATTTTGTTTTCTTTACTCATAAATTACGATTTTCAAAAACAAAAATGCTTATCCTCAGGGTACACTTTGCCTATCTAACTCTGTTATCTCCTTTGTCTACTTAGCTGAGATCTGTCCACAAACATCGAAACAATATATTTATTCGTAATTGTAAACTAAACAAAATATCATTATAACTTTTATATTGGTTAATCAATATATAAACAAATCAATATATTAACAATAAAAAAATTAAATTTATTATAGTTGAGGTAAGAAACGCATTTCCTTTATAATACTATTCCATATTTTATCACTTTTTTAAATTTGTGTACTACATCTTATATATTTTTTTAGCACATGTAAATGATGTAACACCAAATGAAGTCGTAGGCTTCCATGGCCAAACCGATGGAACACCAAAACAATTAGCAAACTGATTTTTGGAGAACTGAATTATTTTCTAATAAGACCAAAGTAATTTAGTTTCTATTTATACCAACCACCACTAAAACTAACCAGTAAACACTAGTTATTTCCTTAAAAATGCTCTTCTGCCATGTCTATGGAGATCATTTCCAAAAAAAAAAAAACTAATAAAAATATCTTATATTTAAATTCTTCTATACCTAATTTAAAATTATACCTTGAACACTGATGACTGTAAATGAACACTCCTCAGCATATAGGGATGTTGTTCAAAAGAATACCTTTCTGTATGTCATGTAGGCTACAAATCAATTCTTTTCATTTTCACAAATTTATATTTAAACAAGATAATGAAGCCACGAAAAGGGAAAAAAAAGACGAAAAGATAATATTGACGAAGAACAACTGAAGATAGGTTCTTATATGCCGTACACCAATACATGACATGACAAAATTATAAAGGAAATTAATATTCATAAAAGTTCAGTTTTGATAAGATTAGAGCTCAAATTGTATGAAACAATGCAGATATATTTTGTCACATGCTTTTCACTCCTATCAACAATACGAGGACAGGTGCTTTCCCAACTGTGTGATGAAAGGAATAATTACTGAATCTATTTAATATAATTATAAAATTGTGACATTAATGAGCACATTATCAACCGATCTCAATCTAATAAGTATAGTACAGCAATATTTTTATATTGACGACAAAACATTTTTTCTTTCTACCACAAAATTGAAACTTAACATTACAGCTAAGAAATTTCTATATGGTTCAGAAACATGGATTATGAAGGAAAACAACAAGCAGGAAATACAGACAGCATAAATGACATTCCTAAAGCACCTCTTAGGAGTAACCAGAAGAAACAGGTTGAGAAACAAGGACATCAGACAAAAACTAAAAACCAAAAATCTAATACAAGAGATTTAAGAACCACAAAAGAGATGGTAAGAACACATTTGCTGGATGGAGGAACAGACTACCAAAACTCATTTGGAAATATAAACCAATTGGAAACAGAGACATTAGAAGACCTTCAAAGAGATGGAAAAATAAGCAACACCTAAATGATGAATCTACTAGGTCTGTTGAACCTGCACAGACAGGAACAGGATTACCCCTAAATGACTGCAGTTTGATGATGATCACAATATACTAATAAAAAGGATGAAAGAGTTAGGGCTGATTTGTTTGTTTGTTTTTACTTTTATTATACTTGCTACTAAGGATACTTAATTCAGAAACAAGTTTCAACATTACTTGTATTTGAAGCCTGTCAAGGAAAACATGCCAAAGCATTTACAACACATAAAGTACTATATTGAAGTATAAATTCTTATTGAAGTTCGTATATAGACCTCAGACCCTCATTCATCACTCATTTGTAATAATCATTTTCCACAAAAAATATAAGATTCTATTCAAAAACAAATATACAGCACTAGAAACCATAATGTAGCTTGGATCCAACTTTCATTAATGAACTTCATTTCCAAAATGAACATTTTTGTGAAGATTTACTTAAAAACAACTGGTACCTTTCTCTTGGGTTAGTTGCCAAAACACTAATTTTCTTTTTTGCAACCAGGTTTTACTTTTGTTGCTAAAAGCTTTGCGGTTGTGTTTGGGTATTTTGATAGTACAGTTTAGGTATAAGTTACTTTCCATAACAATTGTTTATTTGTGGTACTTGGTATTTTTGATTTATTACATGACTTTGAACATTAATTTCAAATTTATTTGTATTATGGTTTCAAACTATATTTAAGTACATATCCATAGAATCCTTTAGGACTTACAGTATAATTGCCACCAGTTCACTCTCACTAACAGTGTTCCCCAGATTATAAAAAACAGTGCTTTGTGAAAAAAGAAATCTTGTAACCTGCTTCAAAATGTTAAGGGTGATAATTGGTTTATTAATGAGCTCAACAGGAAAACGTAATACAGTTTGTAGGATATTTCATCCAGTTCATAAGCCATGGTATTACCACATTCCAAAAGCATGAACAGATTTTAATGAAAAGAACAGATATGAGGCAGATGTTTATGTCAATGGTATGAGTTAATTATCACACAAATAATATACTTTTGATAGTGTTTAACTGCTTTCGTTTTAAAGAGGTGTGGTGGTCTTTGGAGGGTTCATTTAACATATAAAAATAGTAGTGTCATAACACTAAGGATATATCATTACTCTATGATAGTGTCCTGAAGCATAACAATTTTGCACCATCGAATGCACCAGAAATGTTACTATTGATTTTCAAATAGATGTTTTTTATTATTTTGTAACTGAAGTTCACTGCTTCCCCCTGAGCTAATTTTCCATGTTTAAAGATTGAAAATTGTGCTCAAAAAAAACTTTTCCAATGAACATTCCCATTGAAAGAAAGAAAAATGAAATTAAGTGCTGAGTTTTATACAAGCATGGTTAACATTTTCTAGATCATTTCTTTGTTCGGATTTGAATTATTCTACCTCATTTAAAATTTATGAAAATTTTTATTAGCAGATTAACTATTAAATTAACCTGCCCTAAAGTCAAGCGGTATTTGATGTTCCTTTGTTTTTTTTGAATTAAGTACATCTTTGCTTCAGGTAGTAAGAGTCATAATTTAATAAAATAATTCTCAGTGGAAAACATATCACATTTAGGGAGGAAATTTGTTGACATGGCATTTCTGGAGGTTTCTTCCTAAATAAAAAACATGGAAAGACAAATCTAAGCATGCATACCATTGTATTAAAAAAATTCAATTGAAGATTGGGTATCTTTAATAATTACAAATATTAGGTGGAGGCAACAATGTTTACCTTGCTAAGGATGGCAAGAGGCCTAAATCTACCCAAATAACTCTTCCTTAGCTATACAAGTATAATTGTTTGGGGTGTAAATTGAAAATAAATAAATAAACTGTATTCTCAACAGCTGTCAATTAGAACAGTTTATCTCTGCTGTTACCCATTATAAGCCACCTTCAAAAATGGAGCCAAATACATATACTTGGGTTTTTATATCCTGGCACTCGACATAAATCAGCTGTTGACGGTTTCAAGCAACGGGGAGCTTCAATGTCACATTATTTGAACGAATGAAAACCAGTGTAAGTGGCATTTCATAAATTCAGAGAAATGGTTTATTTAAGTCAATAATACTGTAACTTTGAGGTGCTTTTTTCAGATTTAAAAACAGCATTTAATTTAAATTGTTCACTTAAACCACAAAAATACATTGCCACTGAAATATAGCATAAATGAAGTTCTCAAAATTTATAAAATGTCACCTACAACCGTTCTGGTTTTCACATTCATTTAGGCTACCTTTTCCATAATTATTTGAAGTTACTAAGAAGGACCCTTCAAATAACTCAGAAAATTAAATATAATAGAATCTTGAAAAATTGTCTAATTGGTAAAAAAATTTTGTCTAAACAAAATTGGAATAATTCAGAGAGTGCTTGTTTGTTAAAAAGGAAATTGCCTAGTTGGTAGACAGGTCTCTCCTTGTTTAATTTCCACATCTAGGCTGCGGCAAATTTGTCACAAAATCTATATCTTAAAATATCACATTACAAAACAAGATCCGAGAATTATCACAAGGGATTAGTAACATATCAAATAAGGTGATTTGTGTGCAGTGGCCCTTGGAAATGGCAACTGCACTTACCATATTAAGCAATTTTAAGTCAAGACAGCCATGCCTCCCATGACAATTTTTGTGAAGTTAAAATGTAAATGGAGAAATAGAACCCTTTTGAAAATAATGCCACCGAAATGAAGTTTAGTCGAAGCTCAAATTAAAAACTAAATTTAATTCCAGTCCAGAATATAAACAGCTATCTTACAGATCTAACTGAACCCTGTTTAGATTTGCTTAAGTGTAACCAAATTCAGAGTTCTGCCCCACGCTTAATGAAGTGAGAAACAAATTGCTCTTATATTTAAAAATTCAGGTACCTCGCTACTTTTCCTTTGAGTTTTGAAAGACTCCACTTATGTGGAGACTAAAAATATCTGAAAACTCTTGAAAGTCAATTGAGGCCACGAGAGCAATATTGGACAAATAATCTACTGTGAGCATAATTAAGTAAAAATGAAAACTGCTTAGTACAACTCTTTCAGCCTCAATTCAGCCTTCAATATTAGTACCAATTGGAAATGGAACAAATAACAATATTAACTTCTGGTGAAAAAAATTTTTATTTTCAGTAGAAAACATTTCAAGATCCTGGAATGCTAAATTCAATTAATACATGTGTTATGTATCAATATCCAGATGCAACTCCAAAATGGCTCAGTATTCTTCAGCTCCTTCGCCCTCTCCTTCCACAGAATCCATGCCAACTTCTTCATAGTCTTTCTCCAAAGCTGCCAGATCTTCACGGGCCTCTGAAAACTCTCCTTCCTCCATACCTTCACCAACGTACCAGTGCACAAAAGCACGCTTGGCATACATAAGGTCAAATTTATGGTCAAGACGAGCCCACGCTTCAGCAATTGCAGTGGTGTTGGACAACATGCAAACAGCACGTTGGACCTTTGCCAAGTCACCTCCAGGCACAACTGTAGGCGGCTGGTAGTTAATGCCCACCTTGAATCCAGTAGGACACCAGTCCACAAACTGAATGGTCCTCTTAGTCTTGATGGTGGCAATGGCAGCATTCACATCCTTTGGGACAACATCTCCACGATACAGCATGCAACAGGCCATGTATTTGCCATGACGAGGATCGCATTTCACCATCTGGTTAGCAGGTTCAAAGCAGGCATTTGTGATCTCTGCTACAGACAGCTGCTCATGGTAGGCTTTCTCAGCAGAAATGACAGGAGCATAAGTTACAAGAGGGAAGTGAATACGTGGGTATGGCACCAAGTTAGTTTGGAATTCAGTCAAGTCTACATTCAAGGCACCATCAAAACGAAGAGAGGCAGTGATGGAGGATACAATCTGACCAATAAGCCTGTTCAAGTTGGTATATGTGGGGCGTTCAATGTCAAGGTTGCGGCGGCAGATGTCATAAATTGCTTCATTGTCAACCATGAAGGCACAATCGGAATGTTCCAAAGTGGTGTGGGTAGTGAGGATGGAGTTGTATGGCTCTACAACAGCAGTGGATACTTGAGGGGCAGGGTAGATAGCGAATTCAAGTTTACTCTTCTTGCCGTAATCCACAGAAAGGCGCTCCATCAGCAAGGAAGTGAATCCTGACCCAGTGCCACCACCAAAGGAATGGAAAATGAGGAAGCCCTGCAAGCCTGTGCATTGGTCAGCAAGTTTCCGGACGCGATCCAATACCAGGTCTACAATCTCCTTGCCAATTGTGTAGTGACCACGAGCATAATTGTTAGCAGCATCTTCTTTCCCGGTGATCAGCTGTTCTGGATGGAAGAGCTGCCGGTAAGTACCAGTGCGCACCTCATCTGAAATTAAAAAATGTCAATCCTCATTTAATTATTCTAGAAAAATATCCCTCTTCACCCGAGATAAATTAATGAAAATGTCAATGATTCATAATAGTCTACCAACGAGAATATGCTTGTACTGGAGGTACACATGCCATCAGATATTGCATTTGTTTGGGTTGTTTACACACTAAATCTCAAAAAGAAGAAGACTGATAAAATAATAATTTTAATTGGAGAGATTAGCCTTTTCTTGTACCGAGAAAACAAAGAACTTTTCTTTACTGTATATTTGTTCATAAATTTTGAAACTCAAATGATCAAGCTTTGAAAAGATTATGTAATAGGTAACAGATGAAACGCTAAAATATTAGAAACTTCCACAAAGTGATAATGTGATTTGGTTAGTAATATTGTAAAGGTATTTTACATAAGAACTTTACTTTACACTCTTATTACCTTAAATACATAATTACCATAAATATTAGAAACTTCCACAAAGTGGAAATGTGATTTGGTTAGTAATACTGTAAAGGGATTTTACGTAAGGACTTTACACTCTCTTATATTCACCTTAAATACAAGAAATCCATTTTTACAATTCAGAAACAAAAGATCTTAAAAGTGTCTCAAACTTAAGAACGTAGAGATCTCTTTAATGAATTCTAATTTCATAATTCCAAAAATCTAAACCCATGGATTAATATTCTTACCAACAACCGTTGGCTCCAGATCCACGAAGACTGCTCGGGGAACATGCTTTCCTGCACCAGTCTCGCTGAAAAAGGTGTTGAAAGAATCGTCGCCACCTCCCAAAGTCTTGTCTGAAGGCATCTGCCCATCAGGCTGGATTCCATGTTCCAGACAGTACAGTTCCCAACAGGCATTGCCGATCTGGCAACCCGCCTGGCCGACGTGGACAGAAATACACTCACGCTGGAAAAGAAAATTTAAGTTTCAACTGCGAAAATTAACTCTTAATACCATTTTAGTCATTTTCAATCTTATGAGGATGAATAATAAAAGTACGTAAGGCGGCCTACAAGTTAAACATTAATGGCAAACATCAGTCACAAAGTGAGTCACCGGTAAAATGGCCGCACGGTGTCAATGGGCGCGGCCGGATGCGGCGACACATTTACCAATTTCTCATATATTTCAAAATTTATACCACATTTTTGGTTCTTGTATCCCAAATTTACGTCATATTCTTTGAAAATTCAGAAAATTGAACAAATAAATTCTAAAATAAAATCTTTTTTCGAAGAAAACCTCATGTATTTCACACGTAGTACAAGTAATTCTTTTGCGTTTGCCACAAAAATTCGCAAAAGGCAGTACACGTTACAAATATATTACATTACATATTAGAATAAAATACTCACCATTTTTTCGGTTTAGAAAACTGGAAACCAACGCCAACAAAGAAATCGCTTGGGAGTATGCCGTAAGGTGGCCCTTCCAAGCGACTGCAAGCAAGCAACTGCCGTTGAACCGGTGCTGCGCTGCAGAAGACGCCAAACGGCTAGTAGGCTGGTCGTTTGAATAGCGGCTCCCCATTGGCTGGTGCACGGTATGTATGACGTCATCCTGACACGCCAACGCCCGGAACCCCCGCTTTGTCCCGCGTTTCTCGACGTTTCTATCCTTCTGTGCTGCGGCAGGGCGTTGCCGGCCCCTTGGCTTCACTCATAGCCTTATGAGGTCACATCGAAAGCTCCGTTCTACCTACTAAAGCTGCGTGCTATTTGTCAACCCTATTTTGTTAATTTGGTTACCATTCCCGTATTTATGGATGCATAGCGAAGAATTACTTAACAAATATTTGTATAAGCCTAGTTAATTTTTACTTCTCATCAAAACTGACAATGAATATAGTATAGTAATCGGTTACATTAAAGAATGATATCAACTTAGTCATTACAGTTGAGAATAGTAGTTTCCGTCTTTTTTTCCCATAATCGATTTGACCTGGCGGTTATAACCGTCCAGTTTTACCGGTCATATGGTTTTAGTAAAATAAAAGTAATTATTATCTAATCTATATTGTTACAGGAGCAATATGTATATTCACACAGTATGTTACAAAACAGGCTCATTGTATTAACAGACTAGTTGAACTATTAGAACTAGTAAGAGACTCATTGTATAGTACATCGTTTACAACATGAAGCGTTGAGGAAAGAGAAAATAGAAAGACTTCGTCTATTCATGAAAGTACTATACTAAGAAAGTATATTATTTTGTTTTGATTTCATTTATATTAGTCAAAGAACATTAAAAACTGTGTGGGGAGCGGGGAAGAAGGATAATCTGCACGTTTTCTTGAGCTGCAGTATCTTCCCCACTCTCACAATACATGCGTATTAATAGTTGTGTCATGAGTAACTACCATGAAAGCGAGGTTAACAAATTTGAAAACGAAATATTTTCGCTCCTATATCACATTTGGGTGATTAAACGATCTACAAATTTTAATTTTGTGTTCTGTTACAAAATAGCAACCTACCTGGCACAACTAGCCTAACAATCCCCCTGGCTCTTCTCGCTACTATTTATGATAGAACTACCACATCTAGCCACAGAAGTGCCCATAGTGAAGCTACATTTGTGCCCAGGATGGGTCATCATTTGCTCAATGGATCAGGGAAACTGGACCAAACAAATATAAAGATGGATGCAGGTCTTTGACCCAGAAGCTGAAGTAAAGTGTTTTACTTGTTACTACAAAAATAGGCAAATTTAGTCTTATAGTCTTATACTGCACAAATGTTAACTAATGCTTCATGTATCATTGTTAAAATTAATACTATTTTTTTTCTTTTAGATGGCTACTATAGTGTTTAATTGTTTAGAAACGAATATATAGTATACGAGAGATATGCTGTTCGTGTTGCATTATCTGCCCTGTCCGTTGATGTAAGTGCTTTTTATGGGTACACGTCATCGGAAGCCCCCTCTACTCGCAAGTCAATAACAGCTGGTGACTCATGAAAGATACGATTCACTCAGCAGAAAGAGGATGATATAATTTTGTAACAATAAATGTTAAAAATGAAAATATACGTATAAAAATGAATATTGTGCGTTAAATTACAAATAAAAATAAATAACAATAAAAATTAATTAGTCTGAATCGAGGGAGCTATTTATTGAAAAGAAAGGCAATTGATACGTAACAATAACGTAAAAAAGAAATGAATTTATATATGTTCATAAGAAATTCCTAATGATTCATTACTTTGAATTTGTGCACATTAATTTATAAATGAAAAACATTTGAACTATGTTACTTTTTCGTCTACTGTTAACGTAGCACAGATAAAGTGTTGTAAAGCTGGATAATTATACTTACATGTAGTATATTTCTTCCTCTAACATGTGTAATTAATCAGATTCCACGTATTGTGAATCCTTATTAAACCGAAAAAAATACTACGGAGGAGGTATATCCGCTTTTTCGTTACCAGGGTCCGACAATAAGAAATTTGCGTCGAAAAGTCGCCGTTTTTCCGCAGCATTACAATACTTTCTCTATACTGCGCCAGCAGCTTATAGCTAGAAAGCAAAAGCCAGAAAGTAAAAAAGAAGCAGCCGTAACACCTTTCCTTCCCTGAGGGACGCTGAGTATGGTAAACTTCGTCGAATAGAAAGTCACCAATTCGAACTCTCTTCGAGGGATCGCGGAGACATTCCCTAATTCAGATTACTCCCGCGCTTCTATTTCCGATTCCATACTCTTATTTAGAAGTCTGTCATGACAAACTAAATCGAAAGCTTTTGACAAGTTTATAACGATTGCATCATTTTTCCATTTCCTTTCTTTAGTGTTCACGTTCTCCTTCCCCAAGCCTATGTTCCACGAGACTAAATCACTTTCGGACTATTGTAAACGGTTAATGATGTTTAACGTAATCATTTGATAATGAGATAATGATATGATATGATAATAATAATAATAATAATAATAATAATAATAATAATAATAATAATAATAATAATAATAATATGACTAAAACTGACCTTTATTCAGACGCGGCCTTTAATTGGCTTTGAATCTGTGTATCTGAGTAACTTTGCATTTTTTTCTATTGAAATGAATAGTCTCTAACTAAATTACATTGGCATTAAAATATGTCCACGATGAACTGAGTAATGATTTCCTCAAAATTATCTTATTCTGCAGAAAATGTTATAGAACATTACAATTACAACTCGAATCAGTTAATACAACAATTAGTTTATTTTCATGCAATATTTATATTAAGGTAATAGTGTTTTATCAAACAACACGTACATATAATGACATTTTCTAAAATTGAAAAAACGTCATAGGAAATCATTTGAAGCCCTTATACTCGCAAATGCTATGTTTTTTAAAAAACTCCTGCAGATATTAACGACGTGCTAGATAAATTAAAAAATACATGTGTGAAATTCTAGTTCATCAGTAAATTTAGCTTTATCCGTACGAAAAGTTTAAAAACAAATTTGAGTTGTTTTTGAGAAAATAGGATTTTTAATATTGCCTACATGTCACTCCATATTACAAGTTTACTACGCAAAGCCAATAGTCAATGTTTTCGAAACAGTGTATATGACTAAATAAAGAACTAATTTTATTTTAAGAAAAAAAACAACTCTATGTTCAATGAAGTACATGTACGCGGGGATTCAAAAAAGTTTAAATGTAAGCAATTTTCGAAATAATCAGTCATGAAAATAGGTCATATGCCATATTTATGAGTCCTTCACTCCCGAATAAATGTAAGGAAAGAAATGGAAACTTTGAGAACATTTTAAAAATTTATCAGTGGCTTCACGTTGTTCTCAGAGGCAAAGTCAGACGGATAGTTTGAAATAAAGGGGAAAAAGGTGGACAAAACAACACATTTTCGGAATCAGGGGACCCCGAAACATGGATTTCCTTTGAAATCTAGAAATCGATTTTCCGCAACATTACATACTCTGTACTTATTACGAGAAAGTAAATGAAGAAATAGAAAATGGGCCATCTTTAGATAAAGGATCTTTGAGAAAGAGAATTTGCTAATCGCCCATTGATATTTCACATATCGAATTTTGAAGTATTTTCTTGGGAAACTCGTTGAGGCCAAGAAGAGTGAATGAACAGTTAGACATTTTGAATTTAGAGGGACCTTGGTGGAGATTGACTTCTACTTTTGTAGTGGAGACCATGCAGGCCATCTCCGGCCTGCACTTCATCGTGCGAGGGAGGGTCAGTGCTGTTCTCTAGGGACGGCAGCGCGAACTGACTGGAAGATAGCCGGCCGGCGGGCCCGCCGCGCATGCGCAAGACTACCCAACACCGTCCCACTGCCCGGCCGCCCGCGCGCTGACCACTCTGACGTCAGCAGCATCGACACGGCTTGGGAGGTCCCACCCGCGACCTCCCAATGAGGAATAAAGGACTCACGCACCCGCCCGCTTACACCCGACGATGGCGTGAGAGAGAGAATTCAACACGAGAAATCTAAGGGTGGCGGGGGGTGCGTACCCTTCCCGAGGTCCCACCTTGCCCTCCGCCCTTCGGCCGTGCTTTGCGACGAGGATTTCGGATGAGGAGGGCCCGGGAGCGGAGGCGGCTGCTCAGCCAGGGAGCGAGCGTGGATGGATGGAGCCAGACGCGCGCGACCTCCGGCGCGGGAAGGCGTGCCGCCGCCGCAACACGGACGTAGACGCTCCTCCGCCGCAGCCGGCGCGCAGGCGGCGCGAGGAGGTATACCGCGCTCCACCCCCGCCCGCGCCCCGCCTCGCCCCCGCCTTCACCGCCCGCTTTTATTTATTACGTTTGGCAACTCCGTCGGCCACCGGCCGGCCACCGCATCCTATCCACCCGTCATCAATGCGTCCCGTCCATCCGATTTTCCACGAGGACCCCGCCAAGAACGTCCTGCACCCGACGCAGGTGCTGCCCGAGGAAATCGCGAAAAGGCTTCCGGAAAGCCGGGGGCCGGCGGCGGCGGGTGCGCGAAAAGCCAGGGGCCCGGCCGCCCGCCGCGGCGCCGCGACGCGCCCGCCCGCTCGCCAGATCCCGCGCGCTCCTGCTGGCCGGGTGCCGGGGCCCTCGCGGTTATGAATTATGTGATAATATGCTCCGTCTGAGACGCTCCGCGCGGCGCAGATATTACCAATAATCATAATAAGCAGACGATGAAACGCAGAGCGCACTTGCCTGCCTCGGGGTAATGATTGGAACCGCGCAAGATCCAGTTGAGTATTATCAGTTTTATCATTTAGGAAGTTTGATTTTTCGTTCGTGAGGTGGGAACAAAATCGAAATCCAGCGAGGTACTTACTTATCATGCCATCTGCACATTAAGATTGTTTCATTAGCTTCGGTCTCTTACCTGCTTTTTGAAGCAGAAATCGATACTATTACTCTGTGTTTATATTCATTCTTTCTATACTCTACGTTCGTTCGTCCAGTTCGGTTGACTGATAGAAGGAAAGAGATGAAACACGGGTTGGTTGCGGAATATAGCCGTTGTCAAGCACCGATCGACGGGTGAAGTTGTATCGACAAAACGCGTATGAGAGCTTTGGTCTCATGACAGCCAGCAGTCGACGGCTTGTGGGGTGACAATCAACGCTTCCGTCTGAACGGCATGGACGTCAATTGACGTTGTTATTCGTCAAATAAAAGCCACACAGAACAAGCGCCCATGAGATACGTGGAGGTGACGGGACGGAAAAAAGGCGCGCGGCGAGATGGCTGGCTCGCGCGCGCGG